TTTTGTTTTGTTTTGTTTGTTTGTTTGTTTTTTTCCTGATATTGCTGAAATTGACAAGAGTAATCTGTGGGAAGAACAATCTTTACTGAGCTGTTCTGCAACAGAAGACTACTTCCAAGTTCCTACGGTAACACTATCTGCATTCTGCAGGTCTGTCAGCCTCCACTTAAAGGAGATTCCCACATTACCATGAGCAAAATGCACCAGCAAAAGCAAGAATAACCAAAAGATACCGTCCAAGACAAAGTCCCGAAGTTTCTCTTTTTTATCTCTTTTTCCCCAAGGATGAGAAGACAACAAGAAACAACTAATGGGAACGCAATACCCAAGGAGCAGAAGGCTGGGAAGAGATGTCAGTCAATGACTCTCTCAGATAGAGACCAGAAGAAAACATGAGCCACTCACCCTAAGCAACTTTGCCCAGAGCATACTCTCCAACAGAAATGAGGGATCTCACCAGAGGAAAGATATTGCCCACACAGAGAGAAGGAATTTCAAGCTCAAACTTTAACTGACAAAGAAAGAAGATGTCCACTAAGCCCAGAAAAGCAGGACAGAGCCAGGAAAAAAAGCACTAGCAGGGCATATTGTAAACAAGCTCTAACAGTTCCCAAAACAGACGCAATTTCAGTAATCAGTTAAATAAACTAGACTGAATCAGTACCTCCAAGATAGCATTCGAACTGGAAACTGAATATGGATATTATAAATTCAACAATTTTGACATGATTATCTTATGTGCCACGTATACAGAAGTCTAGTGAAATTTAAAAGTCTTGTCATCAACAATTGGTGCAAAGAAACATATGTTCATACTTTAACTTTCAAGAGACATCCAAGAATAGATCTCCTTCTTTGTAGTAAAATAGCATGGGCTCATGAGAACAAGCCTCCCACAGCCACCACAAACTGAATCTGTCAACCTCCTCTGCTTTAAGGGCACTCACCTCAGTGTACACATCTTGCAACATTTTGGAATTTGAAACAGGAGACCTTTCTTCTCAGAGACCGATTTCATTGTAAAAGAAAACACTCTGTCTGGGTGCACCAGAAACACTATCTTTAGTTGTCTCACCAGAGTGTATCATTGTAACAAACAAACAAAAAGCAGAAGTACACTATCATCTAGGAAGTTAAACTCATATGGTTTCATGTCTTTCATGGAGATTTTCTAAATAACTTCGTAATTTCCTGCCTTATCTCATTACCTTTCCCAGATTTTCAAAATAAAAAAGACTGAAAGTAGCCTCTCACTGTTAATGTCACAAGACCTTTCCTAATTGCATACACCTACCCTGAATTTTCTTATGTTTATAAACTATGCTCTCAGATTGCTTACAGTCATCTCTAACTGGAACAACTAATTAAAAAGACTAGAAGCCCACAGACATGGCATACAGAATCTCCATTAATAAAACTTCAGGTGCAAGGGTTATCCAGCACTAAGAATACCGAAAGTTTAATTGTCTTAGTATTAGGCACCTACATCCTTTCCAAACCATAAATGAGACCCACCGCAAGTTCTGCAAACGTCTGTACTAACTTGAGCTGCTGTTCAAAACATGCTCCTAATTAACATGGGAAAATATGAAAGAATAATTACTAAAATGACAAATATGTCTTTTCTTAACTTAGAAGGAAGTACGTTGCAAAAGAGGGTTTTAAAAAGCTTGTGGGGGTAGGAAAATGAGAGAGAGCAGACAGACACAATAATTAAATCTGGGGAGGTTCCTCTAGTGCCTCATTATAAGATATGCCTTTCATTAAGTGTAATAGAATTTAATGGATCATTTGCAACGCAGAAACTTTTATATGGCACTCAAACGTTAAATGCATCCCTTTATTAGCAGTGCTGCACATTTACCTTCAAACAGAGAGAAACTGCTATGAGAATCAATCTATACTCTTAACCATTGAATACAGTTAAGAAGGATGTACATTGTGAGAGATTTATCACAAATTCTTAATCCAATGCAATATTAATAAAATATGTCAAATGGAAGAACTGTTATGATGGAAAAACCGAAGTATTTAATGGGAACAGAATTATGCCAGCAAGGCCATATCAGCAAGCATGAAACAAAAAACAGCTTCAGAATACAGAACATACTCTCTTGAGCATTACTGAAAAAGTTACCTTCTGCCACTGCCATGCCACAGCAGTCCAGGCTGTCAGTTTCCTATTTAATAGCCCTTGAGAGTACATGGTAAAATGTAAGAAATCTAATATTTTTCTCATCATACTAATGAATATAATTTACCCAGAATATAAGAAGTGCCCTACTGAATCAGATCAATCGACCACGTATTGAAGTATTCTTTCCTTGTCAGCAGAACTAGAAAACTTCACTTAGAGAGTAAGTCCTGGGAATTGCAAGTGCTAGATGATCAGCTTCTCTCTGGCTCTTACTATCAACTCAAGGATCCATTGTCCATAAGTTTTCTAATCTTTTTTTTTCCTGCTAGCATTTCTTGTTCCTTCAAAACCTTGAGGCATCGAATAGCAGAGGTGCTCTACTGAATAAGGCAATACCTCGATTCAAGATTTTCTAGCAACAGTTCCACTGAGTGTCCTCTAGTTCAAACATTCAGTTACCTGATATGTAATGGACCTTCTTTACTATCATCTCTATACTGTACTTCATAGGTGTCCAACCTTTTGGCTTGCTTGGGCCACCCTGAATAAAGAGGAATTGTTCTGGGCCTCATAAACATAGGTCACACCAAAAGTAATGCCTCCTATTTATTTTTATGGAAACCACAATAAATGCAATGAACGTGGTAACTGTGTTTGATAGAGCAAATTCTCACCTACAGAACGCTGTTTTTCAATATGGTCACCACCATGAGCTATGCATTTTTGTCAGTGATGAACAAGAGCCTGCACGTCATGCTTGTCATAACCTGCACCACTGGAGGTGACCCACAGACACTGTTATCATTGCTGAAATGCACCACCCACCACCTCACTATGTTCACATCCACTGTTTGGTCTCTGGAAATATTCAGCAAGCATCAATGAATGTCAATGGCTGCAGATTTTCCTGCACAGAGGTATTTAGCAGACTGCTCCTCTGCTGCCACCTGTTACACAGCAATAAATGTAATAGAATATTGGTGGGAAGGTTCAACCGCTATTGCCATGCCACCAACATCTGCCTCTGATGTTGTGGGTGAATAAAATAGGAGGCATTACTTCCAGAGCAGCCTTTGTAAAATATATAAGCAATATAACTTATTTTAACTGTTTGTATTTGTATTACAGCATTAAAATAAAATTTAAAAAGCAACATAAACATAAAACTAGTAAAATATTTGACTTTTTTTTTTTTATTTTTTTTTTTTTTTTTTTTTTTTGGCGAACCTAATGCATCAATCTGGTTTGATTACAATCATTGCTGTTCTTAACAAGTTCTCAAGCTGCTTGTCAGAGATTTCTGATGAAATTTTACTATTCCTGTCCTTCATCCTTCAGAATACCTGTTCACAAGTGTATACACTGCAAGAAATTGATGGATAAATAAGGCATGACTGTGAAGCAAGGGATGTTTTTCTGTGGTAAGAGTTCTTATGACACTCTGGTAAAGAGACATTTAATTTTTCTTTCAATTGAACACCTGATTGCAATTCTACATATTCCACTTAAAAATTCACAAGTAATACATTTATTGCAACTGAAATTAGAATCACAAATATATTAATTTTTTTTTTTTTTTTTTCCAGAAATCTTGAAACCTACCCACAGATTCCTTTATCAGAATGCAAAGCAAGATTACATGCTTTTTTTTGCTGTTCAAAGGACTGCGTGCAGCCAACGTATCAAAATGCATACACTTTCCATGACTTACCACTATGTTGAGCCCTCCCTGTGTCCTAGTTTCAGCTCAGACAGTGTTAATAGCACACTGATGGTTTGGCTGTTGCTGAGTGATGGGTGTGTGCCTGGAACCAAGCCAGGCTGCTCGATGGGGAAGAATCTGCCTTTATAGCACACAGCAAGGGGTAGCTGCATTGTGAGCTGCGCTGGGTCACACTTGGTCCATCAGTTGGACATGCCTGCTATACTGTATCACCTCTCGGTATACAAATATTTAAAATAATGAACTCCTGCTGGTGTCTTTGGAAGCTAAAAATCAAACTAATTTCTATGAAAGAGTAAGATTTTGTTCTTATACTGCTTTCCTTTTAATCCCTGTAGCACATCTTGTCATCTCAGCCACTATGAATATGCAAAGATAAACTTAGGTCTGTAATTAGTATACTTTTAAACTTCCTCTAAAAGATGTAGGTGCTTATATCATAGTGACTACTTCAAGGAACTAGGTAAGCATCCTAAGGAAATCCTAAGTAAAATGTTCTTCAAGAAGTTGTTTATATACTCTAGAAAATTTACAGGCACAGAGGTACAATCAGCTTTATTACAACATATTTTAATTGACACTACTTGTGGATTCTACTAGAGCTCTATGCAACGAGCACTACCCTGTTTCCTGCAAAAATTATCACATGTGAAGATGTTTAAACAGATCTCATTTGAAGCCAAGTGATTTATGGTACGATTACAATGGCAGCACTAACATGTTATAGAAAATGCACAGGATTTGCTACCATATACATGGAAATAATCCACACAGGTATCTAGGTGAATTCAAACATCCAGGGGACAAAGACTCCAGATTACAAACACACTACTGAAATCACAGATGTAGAAAAGCTGTAGGGTTTTTAACAAGCCACCTACCAATGTGATGTCTCGGGAAGCAGCAGCCGCGCTCATGTGTAGACTAGGTTGCCTGACAGAACTACTGCAGTCCAATGCCCGAGCAAACGTGCCGACCGCACTGCAACAGAGAAAGAGCATAGACAGTAAATGCATAAAGATTTTAAAGATCTATACCTTCTTTTTGAAAGACCAGACTATACAATACGCACAAAGGTGTAATATTAAAATAACAAGGCACATACCATAACTCTAAGATTTCAGATCTTTGCTAATTTTGTAAAGGCAAACTACTGAATACTGCAGTAAAAATTCTGACCTTCTTCCCCAAAAGTAATATCCCATACGTAAGAACAACTTGTTTGAAATCACCTACAAATGAAAAATACTCATTCTTGCGTAGCTTATTTCCTTAGAAGTCAAAGGCTTTCTGTTTTGCAACTGTGACAACTTTTTCAAAATTAGAAAGCCAAACCATTGTATAATACAATTTTAAAATGTAGTTCACCAACATATTCCTGTGAGGAAATTAATAACATTTTATTCACTTCAGTAATGCGTGTCGGCTATTTCTATTAGCAAACAAAACACAGTAGCACCTCCAAAGTCATACTTTCGTCACAGTTGTAAAGTAATAATGAACACGCAGATGCTTCACCCTAATTAATAAAAGCATAGCTGTATCACCAAAATGGGACATGATTTTCTCCAAACTTCTACCTTTTTGTGGCACAGAGATGGAGAATCAACGTGATAGCATATCTGAACTGTGAAATTTTCTTAAGAGCACATCCATCAGATATTATGCATGGTGATGGGAAAGATCTACAGAATAATTTGACTGGGCTCAGCCCATCAGATAAGAAGTGAGCAAGTAATGATACGTAAGAAAGAAAATTAATAAAACAAATCACTCCACTACCCTTAGAGTTGAAAAAACGTTCTTAAAGTGCATTGTGGCACTGCGATTTTTGAAAAAATGATTTGCTCCAAATATAACACAATGCAAATCTCTCTAAATTGATATATCTAATTACAGTATCAAACATTTTTAATATAGCGTAAACCTCTGGACTAAAGACTGGAACCTCTTACAGTAGTTATATCCCACACAAGTTACAAGAGTGGGATTATATCCATGAAGTAAGTCAACCTCCACAGACATCAACATACATCAGCCATCAGACTACTGCATACTACAAACCTAATATTCAGTGACAAAATAGTAAGCAACAAGAGTTTTACTCACTATGAATTATTACAGGTAGTGGAGAAATTGGTAACAACATCTGTTACTGAAATATTATCCTCAATCTCAAAACATTTAATATTGAACACATTTCAGCACACCACAAAAAACATTTAAGACACAGTTAAGATTAAACAGCAGTGATTCATATACTGCAGACATTAACTGCTTCAATTTCTAAAGGCTGTGGAGTAAATAAGCAATATCCAAACACTGCTCTGTAATCTTTGCTTCTTCTTTACAGTGACAGCAAATACATGACAAACATCTACACACTGTTTTCTTTTTCTTTCTTTTTTTAATACTTGGCTATATATAAATCAGTATCCGTCCACAGATCAGTCCCAGCAATCTACTGGGAACATATATCCTGATAGTCAGTCAACCCCTTTAAACATGTTGGCCTTGATGAGGGTTGTAGCTAACAATTTTTGCTGTGATCCTTCTGTTGCTGCTGCTCAAACCAGTAAGGCAGCATGCAGCATGACTGTATTTCCCTTCTGCTGCTACCTCTAGCTTTTCTCTTTTCTTGCATAATTAACACTACTTTATTTGACCATAATTCTAAAATAAAATCAGAGCACATTAGGAAAATTACAAAATAGTTTCTACCACATTAAGCTGCTTACAAAATTTCCAGGCTAACTTCAGGGTAGAATTGTACATGGATGACATTGCCCAGTACATAAAGTCAAAATTAAGAGATGTGATAGAACTAGGTTCATTTCAAGAAAGTGATAAAAAGATAAGAATTGAAGTACTAGTTGATATCACTTCCAATGCTGTACTGCGTAGGACAAGATCACAATCATGGTGATTGCTATGCTAGACTGTGGGTTATGTGAGTGCAAAACATCCCAGAAATGCCATAAAGCACAGGCAGTGTGCTGTTTTAAGGAGAAAGGATGGGGCATCCGCAGCTGTATTTCAAAATCAACTTATAAGTCAACTTCCCTGAAAATTTCTGAAAGACTGAGTTTTTCAGACAATCCAAAAAAGTGTAGAAATTCTAGAACATCTGACTGTTAAATATTTACATAGTCTCAAAACTTAACACAGTAATACGCTGCCCTCCATATAAACCAGCCATGCAGTCAAAATGAAAACTTAAGTATTTACTTTAAAAATATTAAAAAACCCTATGGTTTTTTGTTTGTTTGTTTTGTTTTCCCACTCAAAACACACACATAAGGCATATATTCATATAAAGTACATACATTTCCTTTATGTTTTTTCCTTGAACAACTTTTTAATAACACTACCATGAAAGAGTAATTTAAAAATGTTAAAAAGAAAAAAATCCTCATCAGTACTCTTTTCCAAATGACACCCTATTGCCTATACCTACCTGCTAGCAAAAAAAAATTTCACTCTTCAGCCAAAGTAGCCTAAACCACCACACTGTTCGTTTTCTGCTTTTTTTCCTACATTTAAGTGTATTCTTTAATGTAAGATAACTAAAAATGTTCCTGCTATTGTCAAGCCTAGAGAGGAGAAGGCTCAGAGAGGATTTAACCTCAGTAAAGATGAAAAAGATGGAGCTAGATTTTTCTCAGCAGTACCCAATGAAAGAAGAAAATGCAATAAGCAGAAAATGAAACACCAAAAATTCCATTTAAGCACATGGAATTTTTTATTTCCCTTTTTTCTTTGGTTAGATTAGTACCCACCAATATCCACCAGTATTACATACTAGTGGATGCTAAGTCTGCAGGATCAGAACCACCAAAACGGCCAGTGGCATCCTGGATTGTATCATCAACTGTGCTGCCAGCAGAAGCAGCAAGGTGATTGTCCCCCTGTAGTCAGCTCTGGTGAGGGCTGTACCTGGAGTACCGCATTCAGTTTTGGGCCCCTCACTAGAAAGAAACTGAAGCCCTAGAGGTGTGTCCAGAGAAGGGTAACAAAGCTGGTAAGGGGTCTGTAGCACACATCCTATGAGAAGCAGCTGAGGGAAATGGGATTGTTTAGTCTGCAGAAGAGGGCACTCAGGAGTAACCTTATAGCTCTCTACAACTACCTGAAAGGAGGTTGTGGTGAGGTGGGGGTCAGCCTCTTCTCTCATGTAACTAATGAAAGGACAAGAGTGGATAGCACCAGGGGAGATTCAGGTTGGATGTTAGGAAAAATTTCTTCTCTGAAGTAGTGGTCAGGCACTGGAATGGGCTGCCAGGGTGGTGAAGTCACTGTACCGGGAAGAGTTCAAGAAATATTTAGATGTTGTATTGAGGGACATGTTTTAGTGGAGAAATATTGGTGGTAGGTGTACGATTGGACTGGCTGATTTTGGAGGTCTTTTTAAAACTTGGTGTTTCTATGGTTCTATGAAACATATAAATGTAGAAAAAGGCTTTTTGCTCTTGGGACACTAAACAAATCCCGTCAGACTACATACATAAGGAAAAATATATACATTCTTGCAAATGGGCAACACAAATAGAAAGAGTATTTTATCACCTTCTAACAAATATAGTATGCTTGAGTGACTGAAAAAGGTGTTGCCTATAACATCTCTTCTTTCATCTAAAGCAGATAAAAAAAAAAAACACATGGGAATACATACTGCATCAGGGGCATCACCTTTAAAAAAGATCATACAAAAGGTTTTTTAAACGCCTCTTAAAAAAAATTACACATAAGAAACCACTCAGGAAAAAGTTCTTATTGACAGAATTTCAAATTTGCCAGAACAATTTCCAGTCAAAAGACAAATAACATCTCACTAGAAACGCAGCAGGCACAGCCAATGCCCAGATAACTGCAATGAAGATATAGCAGATGGATCTTCCGAGTCTGTAGAAACATACATTAATTAATCATACCATAATGCCAATTGCATAGTCAAGCAACTTTTACTGGTCCAGCATAATGATGAAAGCCTTTACCTGCAAGCACACAAAATGCTGAGTTTAAAGCTGCCCTAATTATCACAGGAGAATTTTTAAATCAGTAAGTCTGTTACAGAACCACACACACACACACAAAATTCTGATCCTGAAGCCTGTGAAAGCAAGCATATAGAGAAGCTTGGAAAGTGTTCCTGTCAGTTCAAAAGCAGCAAAGATGAGTGGAAGTTTGTGGAAGAACATCAATAAGGCAACTGTCTCTAACAAGATGTTAGTCAGATGTCATTCACCTACCATAAGGTCTCTGATAGTTACAGTTATGCAGCTATAACCAAGACTCATTCTCTCTGTAAAAATATCCTGTGAAGTTTATCAATTTCTACATGAATGCAGACTTTGTCAGGTATACACAGCACTGCATATGATGTCATAGATAAGGGGAAGAAGAGATTCTCTCCCAAAATTTCAGTCATTTGTTCTATTACTTCCCAGTAGATTGCCTGCTGGCACAATTGCTTCCAGAGGAGAACATTTTCAACTTGACAGTATACTACTTCACTACTTCAGCTCCCTAGGGTGGCTGCAAAATGGGAAGTGGAGGGAAGTGAAGGCAATGAATAAACTCTGCAAAAACATTCAATCAGTTTTGTAAATCTTCATCTTAGGACATAAGACCTTCCACTGATCATGGGAAGTTAATGCAATCTTTCCAGATCTCAGCAAAGCTTTTGATATTCTTTCTCACAGTATCATTCTGGAAAAAATGTCCACCAAACAGCTAGACAAGTACACAGGGTGTATCATGGGTGAATAGTTTGCTGACAAGTCAGGCTTAAAAGGCGAAAGTAAATGCAGTTACATCATGTTGGCAGCCAGTCACTAGTGGTCCCATTCTAGGGCCAGTTCTCTTCAATACTTTCATCAATGACAAGGATACAGAACTTGAAAGTACACTTAATAAATCCACAGGTAACATTAAATTGGAGAGAACTGTTGACACAGGAGAAGAGAAGACTTGCAGAGAGATCTTGACAAATTAAAGGACTGAGCAATCACCAATCCGGCAAGTGTTGGTCCCTGCACGTGCAGTAAGGCAACAGAGGATATACAATACAGACAAGAGAATGACAGGCTGGAGTGCAGTCCTATGGAAATGAGATTTGAGTGTTCTGGTTTATGGCAAGTTGAATATGAGTTAGGCGTGTACCCTGGCAGCCAAAAAGGCCAACTGCACTTAAGGGTGCCCCAGGCCTAGCAGTGCAAACTGGGTGAGAAGAAGGGTTATCTATACTCTGCTTTGCGCAGCCTCACCTCCAGCATTTGGCGTAGGTATGGGCGCCACAATTTAAGGACATAAGCTATTAGAGAGCATGCAACAGAGGGCTTCAAAGACGGTGAAGGATCTGGAGGACAAGATGTGTGAAGAGCATTGTGGTCCCTGGGTTTGCTCAGCCCAGAGCAGAGGAGCTGAGGGGAGTCCTCATGGAGCTACAGCTCCACAGAGTGGAGGGGCAGCGCTGCTCTCTGACCTCTGTGCACAGCAACAGGGCCCAAGGGAATGGCATGGAGCTGTGCCTGACAGGGGCAGCTGGGGGTTAGAAAAAGATTCTGCACCAGAGAATGGTAGGCATAGCACAGGCTGCCCTGGGCAGCGGGCAATGCCCCGAGTTGCAGGAGTTGAAGGAACATCTGGACAGTGCTCTCATCAAGTTTGAATTTTGGGTGGTCCCATGCAGAGCCAGGAGTTCGGCTCCATGTTCTTTGTGTGTCCCTTTCAACACATTTCATCCTATGATTTTGAGAAAATAGTCAATCAGCAACTCAATTAATTCACTGCGCATGTAAGCTGGGAAGTATAAAGCAATTTCTCCTTTTGTTTTTTCCTCTTCTCCGGAACTGCTTTTTAAAAAGGAGAGAAAAGAAGAACAAAAATAGGAAACAGCATTAAAAGATTATTTGCCTAGCAGGATTAGAGAATATGCTCTGCAATCAGGTTAGAAAAAAAGAACAGAGACAGAACAAACCAAGATAACGTCTCTATGTCACCCACAATCAACAGTACTCCGTTAACATTTTTCTAAACGAGAACAGAACTTTTGTAATCTATTCCTAACTGTGAATTGAAGGACAAGAGAAACATGCTGTAGAATCATCCTTCAGTAAAAACATTTTCTAAAATTTATCAAAACTCTGTAAAGTGGAGAAATTACTTCAAAAGGTATTTGTGAATTCCAATGGCTTCGATGGTCCTTAATTTAGTTTGCATAATCATATGTTAATTTATAAAACTGAACTGACCAATTCTTTTCCACTAACAAAAAGCATCACTTCACAACTGAAATAATTCCACTGCATATTAGTCAACTTATATCTGTTAGCAAATCTGGCAAGTTTTGCATTCATTGCAATTGTTCACACCTTCTTTATTTCTTCTTTATATTACACCATGAAATTCGAAACACTGTAGCACAAGATAATTATTAGCACTGAAATCCTATTTCAAATTACTCTGATAGGAAAACAGAATGATGTCTACATTTAAATATCAAAATCTACTACAATCTTAAATACAGGCAGTCTAGCACAACTCACTCTCTTTTTCTCTCTCTTCTGTACTGGTAAACTCAATAAATATTCAGAAGTTCATGTTCTGATTTTCTCTTAGCTAACTGTGGAAAACAGAAGGGCTCACAATATGGTAAACAAGTTGAGTAACATGATAAAGGGGAATAAATAATCAGTAGAAAAAGGAAAAGGATTCTTTTTTTATTAGAGGATTGTAATCTTACCGTGCTACAACTAAAAACTGGTCAATCTGACGGTCTGTAAGGGGGCTATCTGGATCCCATATTTTTACTTCCAGCTTTGCCTGTTCTCTGTCATCTAATTCTCCTGTCAAAAGGTAGATGGGACAAAACACTTATTACTCACAATGTTTTTCTCTATGTACTTCTTGAACTACTTTTAAAAGAGACATTGTACATTTTAATATAAACATATTGAGTACTTAATAATCAGCAGTCATTCATCTAAATTCCATACTAAAACATTTGTAAAATAAGTATCTTCCCTTAACATCAGTATTTTAATTTGTTTTAAGGAGGCATTCTTAAAAGGTGCAGTATCAAAGAACTTCAATAAAATGTTATCAGGAGCTTGAAACCAAAATGTAAATAACCAGTGGGGATTTTAAATTGCTTCTCAACTATATTAAAGTTGCACTTCAGTCACATTAAAATTAATTTTACACTTAACCAGTTAGAGCAATTAAAAATCCAATTTGTAATCTGGGTACAACTCCAAAACAGAAATTCTGGAGCAATGCTACCTACTACATTTAATTATTTTTTTCACCTCTTACTCTCATTCTTTACATTATCTGTATTATTAACATTAATCATATTATTACAATTGCATTGTACACTGGCTACTTAAACCCACTTACAAAATAATAAGGCTACAGCACAATAAAGTTACCATACAGTACATAATCATTTTCTAAGCCCAATTGTATACAGAGAGCAGTCTGTGTACACACATGGCTGAAACAACAATGGAATTTTCAGAGATTTAATTTGCACTGTGTTCATTATTAAAAAACATAATTTTTCCAAGCAATACACAAAGTATAAAAACACTAAAATGATTCACATTCATATTGAAGCTTAAATCTTTTCTTCACTACTATATCAATAACTACTACGGTGAAATGAGAAACACAACAGGCTGATTAAATAAGCAACACTCCATCTACTTAGCATAAGAATATCTACCTATGCAACACGGCCAACACAGTTGGAACCACAACAAATGAAGAGCAAATCACCATTCACCTTTGGTATTTTAGAACATAAGCATATTCTTCCTTCAGTGAAGATGTGATGAACTCAAGTGTTCAGTTAATTTCTAATGCTTCTCTCTGGCTTGTGTGAGATACTGCAAGAATAAAAACCTGCCTTTTCCCTCAAAAAGTTTACTTGTGTAGGTATTTCTCACTGAGCACAGAGAAAATAACTATAGTCTCTGTTATTTCTCATGAATTAATGGGAACGGATAGTCTATATATGCATAACATCACTAAGACATGAAAAACATTGTACTCATAAGAGTCTGGAAGCAGACTGCAAACCAAGCACCAGATCTTCTGAAATTCTATTAGGTATGGCATGTTTGTTTATTGCATCAAGTCTGCAAGGAAAACATGGTATATATTCATCCCTGCCATAAGCACAAGTTAGAATTGCATCATGATATTTAGCTAATGGGTCAGGAACGCTCATAAAAACTAATCAAAATAACTTTTTTTGATGCACAAGCAATAAAACCTTGTTGGTCTAATAAGACTTATGCTTCTGTTTAAGCTAATTCACATTCAGAACTAGAGACAAGATTTCTAACACTCTCAAGTATGATTTTTTTGTCTATAAACTTATTCAATGGACTACACACTTGTCAATACAATCATTTATTCCATCTGTGGCAGACACATTGTGGGTGATGTTCTTTATTTTATAAATAACCTCAGAGCACTTCATTTCAATCTGTTAATATAGTTTTAAAGTACTTTTCATGTTACTTAACTGTTTCAGGACATCAAATCCTGGAGATCTTAAATGTAGAAGTACGACAATACCCAATACCTGGATAGGCCATGGTTCACAAAAAGAAAAACTTCATACAAACAAAATACAGATATTCAACCAAAAGATGTCATTCTCCTGAATCAAGTTTGCAAAAGGATATTTAAAATTGACTAACAGATGTCCTACTTCAACTAGAGGTAATCAATTTTCTTTTACTACAAAATCTTACTTGAACTGCTGATAAAAGTAACTCTGAAATACTACTGAACTATAGTTTGCATACATAGGTAAGATAAAAGCAACAGAATCTATACCAAAAGAATCCATATGACTTACAAGATAATTGTTGCAGCGACATTTGATATTTCAAATATGGTATCCAATATATACGTAGTCTCTGACAAAAAGTAGTTACAAGATATGCTTTCTTTCTGATTATTATTATTGTTATTTGCCAAAATGGCAGGAATTGTCAGTTCAGTAGGAAGAAAATGAACTTAAATAGTTTAAATTGCAGACAAGCAGAGCAGCTGAAATCTTTTCTTCAGAAACAAAAATTGCATACATATCCTAAAGAAATCAGTTTAAAAAGATCCCATAAAATAAACAACTAAGCCTTCTTTTCAGAGGCATTCACTCAACATCACAGAATGCCAGAGTTTGAAGGGACCTCTGGAAATAATCTGGTCCAACTCCCCTGCTAAATCAGGTTCCCTACAGTAGGTTACATAGAAATGCATACAGATATCTCAAATATCTCCAGAGAAGGAGAATCCACAACCCCCATTAGCAGCCTGTTTCAGTCTTCTGTAACCCTCAAGTAAATTCTTCCTCATGTTCATATGGAAATTCCTGTGTTCCAGTTTCTGGCAGCTGCCCCTCGTTCTGCTGCTGCTCACCACTGAAAAGAGTCCCCATCAGTTCAATACCCACACTTTACGTATTTATAAACAGTGATGAGATCCCCCCTCAGCCTTCTCTTCTCCAGGCTGAACAGACCCACATTACTCAGCTCTTTCTTGTAAGGGAGATGCTCCAGACCCTTAATCATCTTTGTGGCCCTCACTAGACTCTATCTAGAAGATTCTTGTCTTTCTTGAACTGAGGAGCCCAGAACTGGGCACAGTACTTCAAATGTGGTCTCACCTCCTTCAACCCGCTAACCATGCTCTTTGTAATGCATTTCAGAAAAGATCTGATCTCAGTGAACTCCTACCCTTTATTCTTTAGCTTTACACCTGTGAAATGGGTACAATATTTCTTAGCTATACTTCAAGGATATGGAAGATAGTTACTTAACATTTCTTACCCTCCCTTAGACCAGCACAGTGTGCAACACAATAAATTTCCATTACTGAAATACAGGACCAGAGTTAGGAGACACAGCTTTTAGCTGATTATTATCTGAACTGTTGGGAAGTATATTAACAGCAGGTAATCCTACATCTTTTAGAACACGGCTTCACATGCTATGTAACACTTCAAAAACAGGAAACTAATAACTGAAAATGAAATTTCAATTCAGGAACTACCTTCTTAATCTGACATTTAAGACTGCTGGAAAACACTTTCTTTAACTTACAGAAGAAAAACAGCATCACACTTGTTTGTTTTTCTGGCAGTGTTTAGCGATGAACAAAGTTCCAGATATCAAACTTGCTTGTCTAAAGTAAAATCTAAACTTTCTCCTCCAATATAACTTCCTTAGTTCCACTTTTAAGCACTCAGCATTTTTCTCCTGTCTATAATGAATATACAGAGGTTAATTACCACAAAACATCACACAGCTTTTCATGAACAACTAACAGCAGGATGGAGGGGTGAGAAAACAAGCTAAAAAATTTTCCCTGCCACTGGGAAAAGGAGTTTACATTAAGGTCAGGATGAAAACATCTTTCAGACTGCTATACAAACTATTTACTGACACTTCATGAGTTCAACTTTACATACATTGAATTCATTGTAAATAGCTGGAACATCTGATCTTAACCAATGGAAATTACAATCTTTCTCATTAAAGCTCTGCAGACAATTCTTATTACTTGTTTTTTACTTTTTAAATGACTTCCAGTTGTTGCTAGTATTGGCAATAAAAAAATCACCCAGAGAAAGATTCAAAACCTTACAGTCAACTTGATATACATGCTGCTAACTTCTCTGATGAAGTTACCATGGGAAAGCCTAGATTAGTTTGATATTATAAAGCAAAAGGAAAACTACCCGTTTATTGTTCAGTTACAGCACAATTTTTTCCCCTGACCTCAATAACTTACCTGATAGTAGTATATACAAGATATTAATTAGTCCTTCAGACAATGTGTTCTATAATTTATAGAAGTGGTATTCTAAAACTTAATACATTAACATAACACACATAAAAACAGTAGTAGTGAAAAACAGTCTACATTAAGATTACATGTATAGAGACCTCGAAGCAAAGTTATCAGGAGATAGAAACACATTTTTGGTCTCCAGCAGGCAATTTAAAATAGCTGCTGACCATTTTTTAAGCCAGTAAACCACATATACTTCAATTGCCTCCTACCCTCTGGAGCTCTACTCTACAAATATTTTCAGTAATTTTTCACTTGGCTTCCAAATTAAACTTCCAACTCTATAGACTTCAGTGCTCTCCCAGTGCTTGGTCTTGCAGTGTTGACAGATTCGATGTTGGTGAACAAAAGGCAAGACCTCACAAAGCACTCAAAAGTAGTTCATTTCTAGAAATCTAGAACTTGATAAATTAAACAGAATTACTATTAGACTCAATACAAATTCAGCTGTTTCCAGGCAAGAATGACCAACTGCTCCATAATGCTGCCTCAAAAATGGCAGGAACATCTGTTCAGGACTGGAAGAAAGAAACTAATAATGTTTTCACTTTCACAAAACCCTGCAGATCAGTACTCAAAAAGAAACTTCCACAGACATGATAAAGCAGACAATAACATCCTCAAAATAGACTACTCCTCACTTTATTGTCCATACGCTGAAGCCACATTTAAAAAATAGTCCTTTCATGATAACTTTTTATGGCAGATCTAAAGGTAATGACATATTCACATACTGCATAAAATCAGAAGGCCACCTTCTGGTTCAAAGGCAAGGGTAATTGTTCTAGAGATACCTGAAATTCACCTTTATTTTGGAACTGTCACCTTGAACTCCTTTGATATCTATGAATAAACCTCAACAGCATGACCTGCAGCAAGATTCCTGCTCTCTTGACCCCGTTTCAGCAGATGTTTAGGTCAACTTAGCATTGTGCTGTGGTCTAACACTAGTAACTACAATAATTTTTGTAGTAAAGAAAGAACAATCCATGAGGTCATGCAGTTTTCAGGAAAACATGGTGAAAAATAATACTATTTTTAAGTAAAAACATTACCATATATAGGCATTAACTATATTTTAAATAATTGTTTGGGAAGAGGGATACCATAGCACATGGGCACCATGTTCTTCCAAGAGAAACAAACAAAGAAAGTCCCACACCATTAAATTATAATAAAACGTCTAGTCTTGCAATTTACTTCTTTTTATATAAGCAATATTATGAATATGTGCAATATCTGGCCACAGTAGGCTAAGGATAAAATAGGACTGTTTGTTTGCATAAATTTAAACCAAATATTTAATTCAGACAAGAACTTTTACTTTTTCTTTAGGAGGAAATATATTTTGAATTATTCAAGTGTAAAATGCATTTCATCTGCATCTGACATTTGTTTTTCATCTCCTACAAAATAAACTTGAAAAAAAAATCATACTTTTAAAAATGCTTACAATAAAATGGCAAAGGACACACAAACTGAACATGCAATAAGCCCGTTTAGGCAAAGTTACTGAGGTGGAAAAATACAGCAAAGTCAATTAAACCCTAAGATGTTGCGACTTGAAAGGCAATTTGTGAGCTCACTGTATGGCATTACTTTGGATAATAAGCACATACACAGCATACAATACATAAGTGTATCTTTGTAAGGCCAACTACCGCACAGAACTCATTTGATATTTGAACAGCCTCAGAGAAATCTCTACAGCAATAATAAAGACATCTTTCCAACAACAATCACCTACAATCTTCCATATCAATAACACAGCACAGATCATTCATCATGGGCTAAAACCAGTATGCCAAGAGAAAATAGCAGTTTGACCACCTCCTTCAAGCTGCTGAAAAACAAGATGCTCATAAAAACATATGAAAAGAATGGCAACAGATGTGCATCTCCTTGAGACGGAAATCATAGCTCTCTTGTTATGAATGCTAAAACTCTGACTTCTCCAAGTCTTAAACAAACTTAAGAACTACAGTCTTGCTTTTACAGGAGGGGGAAAAAGAAAAAAAAGACAGACCACTCCAACAAGCAGAAACACCTGAATAACTGCCTTCAAACTGTTCAACGGTTTTTATAAGATGTAATTTCCAACTCTTCTAATTTATCATTTGACCGATAACACAGAAGTTGTGAATTATCTGAAAATCAAAGTTTAAAAATGTCCAAGTACCACGTCGTGTAACATAGAAATACTAAAAGAAGCATCCAGTTAACAAACCATAGAATTATAGCTAAATGCAACAGATATTTTAAAATTAAGTGACCTAAAAGATAGGTGCACATTTCATTTCAGAACTATTTTTACATTTGTTACAAGACTCCATAGAACACCACGTTTCATAAACCAAATTCACCAATACCTAATTGGGTGTCTGTACTATACATGGCTGCAGTGCTCAAGTACAGATTTCCCTTGTAAGTAAGCAAAAGTAAATGAAGTCTTTACCTAAAACAGGCAAAAAGAGGTCATTTACACGTGTTTTGTTTGTTTGTTCAATTTATAGTAGAACTGATCAAGAGCCCATAAACATTCATTTATTTGTTCAGCACAGAAATCACACAGCTGTCAAGAAAGTGACCAGTAAGAAAGATGTAAGTGGTATCATAACTCTTTAAGAGTTTGACACAATCAATATTGTAAAGAGTATTTTACTACTTAAGATAATCACGGATCTGACAGTTACAAAAAAATTGCTTTGCTGAGTTTAATAACAAGAAAAAAAATCTGCAAATCACACAAGAGATTACCATATTTAAACTTGCTAATGATCAAGAAACAGCTCCTTCTGAAGAAGGGAACAGAAAAGCTTTTGATATTAAGTCAAAAGTGCAACCAAGTGAAACTTCATTTGAGAAAATACAATTGAGAACACCCAAGAAAAAACTTCATTTCAGTGTATTTATTGCCTTTGTCAAGGTTCATCACATCTACTCTTAAACACCCTCTAATCTATTCAGGTAACCATTTTCACGCGAGACGAATCACATCTCAGCATTATTTCTCTGCTTTGATCTTAAAAGAAATCCTACTTAGTTAGCAGAACTGTACCTTTTATATTTGGCATTCTATTGCAAGTCCCACAAGCAGGAACTCCTGAATCTGGTTGTGGTATTCTTTATTTCATATATCTTCTGACAAAATGCTTGCTTCAGTGAAATAGGAAATTGTCATCATCTATTTGAACTAATGACCCCCAAAGATCTCCCCCGCCTTCTGGCCTACTCTAAGACAAGCAGAGAAAATTCAGAGGCTACTTCCCTCTACAGTCTACTTTCTGGCTAATGATTTTGCATTAAATCTCAGGAAACAGCTCATGTTTTTACAAGAGAAAAAACAAAATTTTAAAGGTCATTGCTTGCTCTGTTTCCTGAATCACAAACTAGGCACATGCAAAGCTTTTTCAGTGTATTACCATTTGCATAATCAAAGTGTACAGACGATTTCTGGTTAAGTATTAATGCTGTTATGACATCAGTGTTTGAACTTGCTGATCTCCGAGTTCCTTGTTTCCAGGCTAAGATTTGCTAAATGCTCAAAGTCTGTCTCAACACATAACAGAAAAGTCAGGTGATATTAAGCATGCTAAAAGCAGCAGTGACTGAGTACGTACTAAGAATTTATTCGCTACAGTTAATTGTTTTGGTTTTGCGTGTGTGTGTGTGTGTGTGTGTGTGTTTCTTTGTTTTTCCTTCAGGCAGTAGTGAATGTTTTGGTTATTCACTTATCTCAGAAGTTACTGATCAGAGACAATTGGTAGCTGCACCAAAAACCATCTACAGCAGAGGACTAGGCACCTTGCTCCTAGACTGTACAGAAGAGATGCTTGATATAAGCAGCTCTTTACTCAAATAAGTGTTTCAGCTCTCTGAGACGAGCACTCAGATGAAAACAGAACGTTATCCCACAACAGAAACAGTTTTGAAAATAAACAAATAATATATTGCCAGAAAAAGCACTTAAACATGGTTAGAAGAGAAAGGACCTTATTTAGTATCACTCTCATAAGAAATTAAATCAGTAGCATATAATCTCCTGTTCTTCAATACAATAAGAGCAACTAAAAAGACTCACAATCTTCAAACTGGAGCACATGACATAGAGGGAGAGGGAAGGATTTCATTCAACCATCGTATTGTGGTCTAGTCTTTATACAAAACTATTGTCTTTACTAAGTATAACTCATTACTACAAATAAAAACAGCAAGGATACAAAGTTGAGATATTTTCAATGAAATTTGTTTATTATAAGGACTGCAGGAATGTAGAGGATTGTCATTCTACAAATAAATTATGTTCTTCGTATTCTTCTTAAGCACTTACATTTCTAAAGGATTTCAGAAGGTAGATTATCTTCTAAGTCTACCTAATACTGCCTTCTTGTGCACTATCAATTCTCAGTGACATCTTCACCCATCATCTGATTCACAGCAGACAGAATTCTGCACACTAGCTCACTGAGCAACCATTTGTACTCTTCCTCCGTTTGTCCCTGCATTACATTTCCAAAACATTATTTAAAACACCCTCAAAATAAAAGGATTTCTCTCTTGATATGACCCTTTTGGTACTCATACCTAAGAAATCCACGTTTCATAAATGCGTTTTAAACACTCCCTCTACTTATTTTTCCTCTTTCATGCATAAGCACCTCAGTCTTTGTGACTTCCAGACATCCAATTGGAGATATCTGCAACTTAATTTATCAGCATTTAGCAGCTGTATTTTCAAAGAATTAAGCCATACCTTCTTTATTTTGCATCTCTTTAGAAAACTATACCTCTAAAGTAGTAATTTTGCCAGATGACATCCTGAAATAATTCATACAACATCAGCAACAGGCAAAGAGAGATCAGAGGCAGAAGAAATATTGATGGTAAAGCCACGCCATGTAGAGAAGTGACATCAGGAAGTTTGTAAGAAAATTTGGGATTCTATGACTACCACTTATCCATATATCTGTTGAAACATATCTTAAACTACCACTGAAAACATCACTTTTCAATCTGATTATGGGTCAAATAATCAACTATAATTGAACTATGCTCAAACTGAAAGGCAAAATATATAAATACTTCAGCATTCTTCAATGTTTTTGATTAGGAAAATACTGTTCAAACTGACATCAACTAAACTTCAATAGTCAAGTGACTAAACTGACAAGTTTAATTCAGAATGCTAACATAAATAATACTACATGATAAGGATATTTTTTTAACTATACAAGGAGCAAATATTTACCTTCTGCAAGCATGTCAGGCACATCTGCTTGATATCTGGGCCCCACTCTGATTTCTCCTTTGTCTGCCAAAAGCGTTTTCAGTGATGGATCATACACCAATGAATAAAAAAAAGTATCCTGAAAAAGAAGATACATTTGCAATAGCATAATGAATTTCAGAATTAGCACTGTACCTCACCTTCCATGTGAAAATTATTAAAGTAACCCCTCTCACGTGCTTTTACAGACTACAGGTTTGGCAGAAGACTAAAAATTTTGAAACATTAATCATTTTAAAGAACGCAGATCTTTCACGCGAATCCTTTTACATGGTTAATCAAAGCTTTTCTCATTGCTAGAAGTTATTTCAGAATAGAGCAGCAAGGAAAGGATCAATACTCATAAAACATACCAACAGATTAAAAAAAAAAAAAAAAAAAAAAAAAAAAAAAAAAAGAGCTGTTACTCATTTTCTGAATTTAATGTTTCCTTTCCTAAATATTTTACCATACTGACTTTTCATACATTAGTCTCAAACAGCACAAGAAAACGGGTTAAGCTGAAAAGGGCTTACACAAAAACAGAGTTGACATATCTTGTACACTCATTTGTAGTAAATGTTAGGTGTTGTTCTCAAAAACATTCTACAGATTATCAGTGGTTTTTGGTGTAGAAATATGAAAATAAAAAAATGCTAATTCCAACCAAAAAAACCACCGTCTTAATATCACATTAAGATTTCCAAATAAAAATATATTTATTTTTAAGGGTATGCATGTTTGCATTACAAAACTAGCTTCAAGACTTATCTTTCAAATTCATGGATAATTTGTTTCCTTTCTAGTAAAGCTAATTCCCTTCTACCGGAAAGCAAAGGAGTTGTTTTGCTTACAGTAGTTTAAAGTACTAAAAATTAAACCGCTATGCTATGCTTTGCTACCATCTGGAAGAGCATCCCATCTTTCATCCCATTGACTTTACAATACAATATTTTGTCTCTGGAAGACTTGTCTTTCTATAACACCTCAAGACAGAAAAATAATAACTGCACAAAAATTAGAGAACAATAAGAACAAAACCAGAAAAATACCACAAAGTGAATTTCCCTCTAAGTAAAAGTCTACATATTTTTATTTTGTAAGATACCATGTGAATTACTTTGAGTTAACTATTTCTTAAGAAACCTGTAATGTGCCATTTCAGTTCTTGTTCCAAAACACTTTCAAAATCAGTGTTCTCAACATTTTTCTAACATAACATCCAATAAAGCAATTGTTTGCCCACTTACTGAAAACAAAGGCATAAAGCAATCAAACAAAGCCAAACAGAATAAACATAAAACTATTCCCAAAGTTTATGCAAATAGAAATCACAAACATTACCTCTTTCTCCAGATACGACAACACAGATTCTGTCTCATTCAGAAGTGCAACGCTGCATTTTCCCCTATAAATACATAAGAAATAACTGTTACTTTTGTAAAGTTAATTGTTTTTGTTGTCAAAAAACACTGCAAATTTATTTTTAGTCTAACTTTATTTTAAAGCAATGCAAGAAATGCAAGCAGATATGGATGAAAAATGTTGTGTGCTGATTCCTCCTGCTAGAATAGCCTTTTTATTTTTTTAAATGCTACCACTTTCAATTCTATTATTTCTCTGTAACAATTCACTACTTCCTGCATTTCAGGTACCTAACTCTTACTTAACTTCTATCAATTTGGACAGTATTTACCATGAGGTCCTAGTGATCTAGGACATAGAACAGGACTGTCTACACAAATCCATTCTATCTGCAACAGATTAGCACACAAATCAACACTAGAAAGGACAAATTACTTTAGGGATCTCTGGGATTTAAAGATGTAAAGACTCAAAGATATCATAGCAAAAATCCCTCATTTATTTCAGAGAATGTTTTCTCTTAAACTCAGCTGCAGATATTACATGCCAATTGTTAACTGCAGAAAAAAAAAGAAAACCAACACAAAAAAAAAACACATCAAAAACATAGCTAATGTCTCTTTCATTACTGCTAGAATAGAAACAGAGTTAAAACATTCATTAATATATAAGCTCTTGAATTTCTCTTAGTCTCAGTATTTGTCAAGAGAACCACAATTCCGAATAGAAATGTTGGAAAAATTAGACTGCAAAACCTGAGCACAACACACAACAGCAAGTGAGAAGATTCCTGCAATAAGAAACGAGGAGAACATCTCTATTATCAATTGTGTATTTGAAGATTTTTTGGAGCTTTTGACCTTGATAATTCCAGAACACTAATATCTAAAGATTAATTCTATGCTATACCATGAAGACAGTTCACTACCTTTTTTTTTTTTTTTTTTTTTTTTAGTATTAAACCTGAGTAGTTTACCTTCACAGTTTACTTCTGTTCTGTTCAGTTCACTCCAGACTACCCTTATTTAACTCCAATTATGGCAGAGGCTTTCCTTCACTGCCAATGTGGCTGAAAGGGCATAGTATTGACTGACCTTATACCATATTGCTGGAAGTTTAAAAAGCTTTGTTTTATTTCATTAAGAGAGAAGATTAATTTCCACAGCACATCTCCTAACTGAGTGTATTTCTATTTGATATTAAATTTCTTTGTGCAGAATTTTAACCATCTAATGGCTGGAATCATAATTAGTATTTTATGTGCTTCTAAGATTTTTCACATGTATGAATTATAGCCTAAAAAATAAATAAATAAATAAATAAATACAAGGCTAACTGCTAAAATGAAAAAAAAAAAAAAAAAAAAAAAAAAGCATTTAGAAACAGGTAATCTGATCAACTATAAGGAACATCACAATAAAAAGAATCTGTATTATAGTTGCCAGCTTCCATGATCCATAAATGTGATATTCTTACTATAGGTATATAGAATCAAAAGGCATAAAATCCTATCATTTCTATATCTGTTCATTCTCTTTCCCTTTCCCCCCATGTCCCAACTAGAGGAAGATCCTCTCAGCCTACTATAAATGGTCATTTCTGTTGAAACAATGCACTTAGCTCAGTAAATTGTCACAAACCTATCAATCAAGTATACTTAGGAAATAACTCAGTGCAGACTTAAGATGATGCAATCCTAAATATTCTTTTAACCACCATTGTACTCTTCACCTCTTCTTCCAATACTAATAATCAAAAAGCCTGAGAAAATTAATGTGGTTTAAACCACATTGCAACCAGACTGGTCTCGGTGACTGGATAAAGAGAAATATCACTGCCATTTGTAAGAAAGGATGGAACACTGCATCCAAGCCTAGGGGCCCCAAAACAAGACAGCTGCTGGAGCAGGTCCAGTGGAGGGTAACAAAAAAGACCAAGTGCTGGAGCACCTCTCCTATGAAGAAAGGCAGCGGGAGCTGGGCGTGTTCAGCATGCAAAAGTCAGAGCTCTGGGGAGAGCTCACTGCAGCCTTCTAGTACTTAAAGGCAGCTCATTATCAGGAGGGAGACAAGAATTTTTATGTCATCTGATAGTGGTAGGATAGGGGAAATGCTTTTCAACTAAAAGAGGGGAGATTTAAATTAGAGGTTGTGGGGGAATTTTCACCTAAAGCATGGTGAGGTGCTCGAACAGGTTGTCCAGAGAAGTTACAGATGCTCAGAGAAGTTACAACCACCTCCAAGGATGACACGTCCAAGGTCAGGTCAGATGGGGCCCTGGGCAAGCTGGACTAGTGTCTGACTTACTGGTTGGCAAACTTGAAGGGAAGCTGGAAGTAGATGACCTTTAAAGATCCATTGAAACTTTCTGATTATCATTCAGTTGTAATTCTGATTTGAGCTATATTCCTCTATCATGCTGCATCCCTGACTTCACTGTTCTCAATAGCAAAAATTACTGGTAAATAGCATCGGAAGGAATCAAAGATGTTGCTATAACATTCCTGGTTTTGACTTTGTCTATTTACGCTCTAAAAAATTATTATTTCCCAGGGAATTGGGCAAAATTGATCTTGTATGAATGTTGAGTAGATCTTTCTGATACCTCAACAATGTACAAATTACAGCAAACAAAGTTAGCACTTATGTCTTCACTTACAATTTAATTTTGATAAAATTGCCACTTCAGAATCTGTTCTACTCTCAGAGGTACTTAAATGTACTTAAACTGATAAAAGATAAAAAGTTGCTCCATTTAGCTGACAATACCAACATAACTTGCCAGAGTATTAAATCAGTAAACAAACAAACAAACAAACAAGCAGGTTATTTACAGATCTTTCAATAAAAGGAAATACCAAAGCTTACCTGGGTATATGCTCATGGTATTATCAGCCTCTGTTATATAAACCAGTCAGGATTCAATTACTTCTCCTATCCTAGAAAGCTCAGCTGTAACTCATTTTTTTCTTTAAACCAGTAACCATGTGAAAGTTGTTTACACACATTACACCTTCATTCATTGCTACCTTAGAAGTTTTTCCCAGTTGTTAAAGCTGAAAGATGCAACAAAAGATAACTCCACCACGATCTGACAATTCTCGGCCATATACACACATCAGCTAAAGGATGCCTAACAATCTCCTCCTTTTTTCATGCCTACCACCTACTTGAGTTATTTCAACAAAGCCATTCTGGTACAACACAGAATTGAAATCCAAGCACATTTCACACTAACTCTAAAACAGTATTTTTTTGAGGAGAAACAAAAACCAAACCAAACCAAAGCAACACACTTAAATGATCTTGCAGAAAATAAATTCTTCAGTAGGCCAAACAGTGAGCCTCAGTCTTAAAACCAACATGCTAACAATTTACAACTAAAACAGCAAATAAACACAGGGAAACTAGTGAAGGTTATAAATAAATGGAAAGACATACTAGCCATCTTGGTATGCAGCAGTCCCAAGAAAGTGAACAAAAAGATATTTCCTTCCTTTTTTCAGGGAGCTACTCTGCTTGTTTGCACTGTCCCTGTAATCACCTCTTAAGATTTTTCTTAAAGTAATCAATATTGTACATATATTTTATACAATTCCTCAACAAAAAATAATGATGAAAACCAGATCTTAAAAGTACCAGAATGAATCAAAATCAACAGCTATTTTTATCATTTGAACTTCTTGATTTGGCCCAGTCCATCCTTTTAAAAAAATAGAAACCTCTACAATTTCTGCTCTGTCACTCTTGCAGGCTATTTCGTCACCTGTTTTCACTAGATCAGTAAGACAGACCATGAGATGTAAGCCTTCTTTTAATAATTATCTGTTCGGACAGGAAATATGCTAGCAAAAATTACAGAAACAAATTACAAAAGAAATGCAATACTTAAGCGTCTGTTAAGCAGCACAAGCCACAGAAGTGGAAAAGGCAGCCTGATGGCTAAAGTATTGCGTCCCACAAATTTCCTGTTGTAATGCAGTTGTATCTTGGGTAAGACTGGCACAGAGTATGAACTTTCAGAACTCACTGTTCTGGGTTCCCACCAAGTCAATGGAACTTGCAGTGCATTAGTCATGCTGATGCTATTTGAAGAAGAAAGGTAATATGTGCAGTGGTGACCCCACAGACTTTGAAATTCTGCTCTTAACAATTACTCATCGCCTTCCTGAATTTGACAAGATAACATCGGGTAATTCCATGCAGGTAAACCAATCGTCTCTTGATCTCGATCAAAAAATGCTGATCTTAGTAGAAATTTGAAATACAAAACTTTGCCACTAGTTGGATAGTAAGAACAAAGTAACTGCAAAGAATATTAGGAAATGTTATGCTTATAAGGAAAATCTGATTTGATTTTAACATATGCTGCTGTTTCAATGACAACTAGAAATTAAACAGAAGATAAAGTGAAAAACTGAGAGGGGCTGTAAGGTTTTAAGCAAAACGAGACCAAGAGCAACCCTTCTCCAATGAGTCATAAAGGAAAAAAGGGGAAAAAGGGCACAGAAAGTAAAGGATGAGACAGCTACCTTAAATGAACAAGGTATTTCCTGAATTATCTGAAACGTTTTTTGAAGATTTCCAAACAACTACTTTGAGCCAAGTCATGACCGCTTACAAGAAGTCTAGATTGCAATGATTATTGCCAAATCACATACTAGGAGCTGCAGAGTTTTAGGACCTTGCTCTAATTACATAAAATTGATTCCTCACTTTTGGGAAGCAAATATCAAGTACACTTGCATATTTTGCTTTCAAGTGCAGCTCAGGGAGCACAGAACGATGCTGACAGACACAAGTACATAGCAACTTCCAAGCTCTCCAAATTGCATGGATATTTACAAATGGAGTGCAAGATACTGCACTCCACGAAAATCTGTTGAGTAACACAAAAGCATTACTAAAAGCTGTAACAGACTCCCCAGCTAGAGTTTGGGTTTTTGTGTTTTTTTGTTTGTTTGTTTTTTAATATTCACAATATATAGAGGATAGATTCTGACAGAAGAGAGATCTGCCCTCCTTGATTCCTCTTGGGCAGAGT